GAATAACATGCGTTAAAATTTGTGGAAGTGGCTCTCCATTAAGCATTGTGACTAAAATTTTTTTCATGGTCTCAATTTTGGCCTCCTCAGAACCCTTTTCGAGAGCCGTTTTGAGCTCCTGCAAGGAAGGTTGATCTGAACTGTCATCCTGGTGAATGATAGTATAACAAGTGTCAGTTGCCATTTTATAAAAATACAATGTGATCTAAGAATAATTTTGGAGAGAAATAAAAAATTCTTGAACCTGAATTTTTTTATCGTGTCACCACTTTTTTGATTGGATAATTCGGTAAAACTTTTTATCTGATGGGATAATTTCATTTGCTGAATATTGGACAACGAAAATCGACGCGTTCATACGAACAATTCAAAAATATGACTGATAAGACTAATGCACGTCCCATTAGAAGATTAGATGAAACAGTTGTAAATCGCATAGCCGCTGGAGAGGTGATAAATTAATTATGATGTTAATTAAAAATAAAAATTTTTTTTTGACTAGTACTGAAACAAATATTTTTAGATAATTCATCGTCCTGCAAATGCATTAAAAGAGTTGATTGAAAACTGTTTGGATGCTGGTGCCACAAACATTCAAATTACAATAAAAGATGGAGGACTTAAATTGTTACAAATACTTGATAATGGACACGGAATAAGAGTTAGTCATTACAGTCCTTTATTATATTTCTGAATTTAATTAATTTATTAACGCGGGATTATGTCAAAGAGAGAAGATATGTCCATTGTTTGTGAACGGTTTACAACGAGCAAACTAAAGAAATTTGAAGATTTATCAAATATAAGTACATATGGTTTTCGTGGTGAAGCATTGGCAAGCATAAGTCATGTTGCCCATGTTACAATTACCACCAAGACGTCAGACTCTAACTGTGCTTATAGGTAAATATTATTATATATGAAATTATTTTAATCTGAAGTAATTTATAATTTATAAATTCATTTTAATCGATCGTTAAGGGCTTGTTATTCGGATGGTAAACTTGTTCCTGCAAAACCTGGTACAAGTGCGGAACCAAAGGCATGTGCTGGTAATACCGGAACACAAATTACGGTAAGTATCTTCAATATAAACTTGTTATATTTTTCCTTTAAAAATTAATATCGATGGTATTATTACTTATATAATTTAAACCCTTATGTTAGGCAGAAGACCTTTTTTATAATGTTCCAACGCGTAGGAAAGCCCTGAAGAATCCGAGTGATGAATACAATAGAATTTTAGATGTAGTGAATCGATATGCGATTCATAATTCTGGAGTCAGCTTTACTTGTAAAAAGGTTGGGACACTTATCATATTGATTGCTATCAAAATTTTTAGTAGTAATATAATTTTCTAAATAAAATAGCAAGGTTCAAACCAAGCGGATGTAAACACTTTATCAACATCTTCAACATTAGATAATATCCGTCATATATATGGCAATGTAGCTTCTGAATTGATAGAATTAGGGAAATCTTTTAGAAAACTGGAGTTCAAAGTTAATGGATATATATCCAACGCGAATTACAACCTTAAAAAAATGAATTTTCTTTTGTTTATAAATCGTAAGTAGTCATTCAACTTTGAGTCATTTATGAATTTTTTTTTTCTGAAACGTAATAACATTTGATACCTAAATAAAATAACCAAAGACAGAGCTGTGGAAAATTCATCGCTAAAAAAAACTATTGAAAGTATTTACGCGACTTATTTACCAAAAAGTACTCATCCGTATGTGTATTTAAGTCTGGAGATCAACCCGCAGAATGTTGATGTTAACGTTCATCCAACAAAACGCGAAGTAAACAAATTTTCGTTTAGCGTACTTATTTAATTCGATATTTAGATCTAATGGTTTTTTTTTGCTGCCTTGATAGGTTAGTTTCTTGAATGAAGATGAAGTCATTGCCGCAATAGGAGATACCATTCAAGAACGTCTCGCTGATGCGAATAGTTCGAGAGTATTTTTGACACAGGTATTCTTGATATACATATATACATTATGTATATAATTAATTACATAGCTAATTTCTTCATTGCTTATAGACTTTATTACCTGGGGCTAAAGTCATTGAAGCGAATATGAATCAAGCAGAAAGTTCGATTAAAAAATCAGGTATTCATTTCGATCGGTGGATGTGATATGTTAAAGGATTATGACTTAATTTTATAAATCTAATGAAATAAGGAGTCAAGGTTACAAATTACAAGCTTGTTAGGACAGATAGTCGTGTGCAGACACTTGACAACTTTTTTAACCCTGATGATATGGTTAATAAGCAACTCGAGGACAATTTAAGAAAAGAAAGAAAAGAGCAATATAAACCTATTCCTTTTAGTAATAGGTAATGTGTTAAATACTGGTTATATTTAATCAATTGTAATTAAGATTTAGATTCATCCTTGAATTTTATAGTTCAAAAGTTACTGCTAATAGTAATATCGTTGGGGGGAAACGCAAACGGGAACGTTTTGAGGTCCGATTGACCAGTATTTTGACCCTACGCAAGCGATTAAAGGAAGTCGAACATAAAGGTATGCTTTATATAATATATTTGCATTTATACGCTGAATTTATGCTCTTGAATAACTCTCTATTTGCATTAGGGCTCACGGAACTACTTGCAAATCACACATTTGTCGGATGTGTTGATGATTCTTTAACTCTAGCACTGGTACAACATCAAACAAAACTATATATGATTAATTACAATACTCTCAGGTATTACGAAACATATGGTAAATTATTATTATTACAAGATCAAGATGAACTAATAAAGATTTTATATTTAGTGAAGAATTGTTTTATCAATTGACTCTCTTAGAATTTCATAATTTCGGGTTTATTCATTTGTCTATACCTGCTCCAATACGCGAACTTATAATTTTCGCTTTGGAATCATGTGATCACGACGAGCTCGAAGATTTGAAATCAAATGAAGAAATCGCTCAAGTAAATTTTTCTATAAACAAAATACTGTTAACATCAAAAGAAATCAAAGATATTAACGATTATAATATATGTATATAGATAATTGTCGACCAATTAATTACGCGAAAAGAAATGTTGATGGAATATTTCTCGATTACTATAACAGAGAATGGAGAATTAGCTACTTTGCCTCTAATGCTAAAAGGATATGCACCAAATTTAGATAAACTTCCAACATTTTTGCTACGTTTGGGAACTGAGGTATTGAATACAACCTTGCTTTTTTTTTCATATATAGTTATTTATAGTTTATTATCAGGTTAGTTATGGTTTTATTAAAAAAAATTCTTTCATTTAAAGGTTGATTGGGAAACTGAAATTGGATGCTTCGAAACTCTTGCTCGTGAAATTGGATTATTTTATGCAACTGAACCACCAAACTTTTCAAAATTTTCAACATCTGTTAGCGATAAAGATGATATTTCAATAGATGACATGAGCGCATCTAATATAAACAAGAATGCATCATTATCGTCGCCAAGGAAAAGTTCTGAAAAAGAAACAAATTTGATTTTTACGGAACAACAAAAAAAAGCAGAGATCGCAAGATATAAATGGCAAGTTGAACATTTAATTTTTCCAATTTTAAAAAGTCAATTTCTTGCTCCGAAAAGTGCTGCAGAAAATGGACATGTACTTCAAATAGCTAATTTACCAGACTTGTATCGTATATTTGAACGCTGTTGAAAAACTATTAATTGCACTCTAAACTAATATGTATATAATAATAGTAATAATAATAATAAATAAAATAAAATTGATTAACAATAGTATTATAATACGTACATATATTTTACCTATCAAGAATTTTCAATTCAATTATTACGCATAACTCGATCTTTTTTTTCATAGAATGATTTTATTATAGTATAATTAATTATGTATTTGGTATGTCTTCTCTACTGCTTAGTATTGATATTATAAATAAAGTTATTTTATCATTTAAAAATTCAATGGTTTTATTTAGTCCAGAGCGTTAGCGTAGGACTATATATTTATTAGTCCGGAACGAAGTGAAGGACTATATACAGTCAGCCCTCTCTAAATGCATACACTATATATTTTCTCTCTAAATGCACGCTCTCGTTCAGTCCCAAGCATATAGAATTCATATAGAAATTTCTCT